GCAAAGACATTTGCACATAGTACTCCTGCCGTGCACTGAGCTGCACAGGCCAAGTACCAGCGAGATCACCCTGAGGTGCTCAGAACAACACAGTCTCCATATGAGCAAAGCAATCCAGGAACACAAGTAGAGAGGCCATCACTCTCATGGAAGGCAGCAGGAGTTGACTTAACAGATGACTACTTCTTAAATGGACAGTTCTATGTGGCCTGCTCCAAAGTGAGCTCATCAAGCAGCCTGGTGATCCCAGCAGCTGAGGGTAGAACCACCAATGTGGTCTAGAGAGGGGTCCTTCAGTAGATTAGAAAAAAGTATGTATGTCTCGCTTCATTTCTTACACTACAATCTTCTCTGTTAGAATTCCTACAGCAAATGTCACATTTCAAATTTCACATCATCGGTATTATAACTGGATTTACGGAACTTAAATACCATAGCGAAGCACGGGTAGCAGGCTAGTTGATAAATAAAGTGAGTCCAGTAATTTTGTTGGAACCATCTAGCATCCATAGCTTCCATTGTTCTTGTGTTCTTCATTTTATCTTCACAACAGCCTTGTGAGGTAAATCTGGCTGAGAGTATATGAATGGCCCAAGGTCACCCAGCAAACTTCCATGGCAGATTGGGGATTCAAGTATTAGAGACACATGATAGGTTGCTTAAAAGCTCTCTAATTACATCTCACCTATCATAAAGATAGCCTGGTTAAGGATGTTCCAGTTCTCTTAATTTTCAGCACTGGAATTCTCACAATCATTCTGGTAACCAGTTTGGAGACTACTGGGTTTTAAGTCAGTAGCTATTATGGTCATACATAAAGATCATACATAGTTTTCTTTCTAGCATGCTTTTTGTTCCCTAGAAACTTGCTCTGAGTAACATGTTGGTTGATCTACATGGTTTGCTTTTCTATCCATTTACTCAATACCCTTGAAGGCCCTGCTTTGGGTGCCCTCACCATCTCAAGCTAAACAGGTAGCAACATGAGAAATGACCTTCTTAGCTGTAGCACCAAAACTTTGGCCCTCCCCAGGCAGATTGATCTATCTCCATCTATCATTGTCTTCACCCAGAGGATTTAGTTTGGCATCCTCCCACTAACTGTTATTGGTCTTCCTCCCTAGTTGTATTGTTAGGTGTGTTTATAGATGTGTTTGAGAGCCAGTGTGGCATAGTGGGAGAACCAGGGCCAGATCCCCGATCTGCCATGGAAGCTAACTGGGTGACCTTTAGCCAGTCACACCAGGCATGCAATCGCAATATAACCAATCCCACAGAGTTGTTCTGTGGAGAAAAAGAGGGGAGAATTATGTAAGCCGTTTTGGGAGAAAGATGGGGCATAAATGAAATAAATAAATATGTTTGATTATATTGTTTAAATATAATGCACTTATATTTTAATTGCTGTTTTAATGTTTACATGTTTGCTGCACTGGGTACCCTATTTGAGTGGAAAGGCATTACAGAAATGTTATAAATAAATAAATACATGATAGTTATGTTGTTGCTTGTTTGCAGGAAATGGATTTTTTGGACATAACAAGTATTCGAGATACCAGAGTGGGGAAATTTGCCAAGATCCCTAAGGTTAGTATGTGGCATGTTGTATAGCATTTTTTTGTTTCGCATTCAAATTGCACAGTGTCCTTTGAAGTCACCACCAATGAACAGCCCAGATAGCCACTCCCAGTACTTCCAAAGAGAGGTTTTGCCAGACAAATTGCTCAGTCAGCCACAAGGGTTCCAGTTCTCCTTTGATGCTGCTTTAGAGACCTGATGCAGTCCTTTCCTTCTCTCTCCTGTGCCACCCAAAATAAAGTCCCTTAATGGCACAACTGGATCATGCACACTTGGAGTGAACTAGTAGTGCAATGTTACAAAACTGGGTTGCTGTGCAAACACAAAGAAACTGCAGCCCATAGGACTGGGTGAGGCAACCAAATATTTGACAGAAATGTTTATGATAAACACAAAGTTGCAGCTCCAGGTCAGTATTTCCTCCATACTATGCAATTAAACTCTCCTGCATCCTCACATCCTCACACACTTGCTGTAGAAAAAGGCAGAGTGGGATGATGCTATAACATCACAGCTGGTTGAGGGGGCAATCTCATAAGAACATAAGAAGAACTCTGCTGGATCAGACCAGTGGTCCATCTAGTTCAGCATCCTTCTCAGACAGTGGCCAATGAGTTATTCTGGGGAACCTGTGGTGGTCCAGTCCTGCTTTGACCTGCAGGTCCTATTCCACCATGCTCTCCAAGGCATCGGGGCACCAGTGGCCACCCAAGGTCTGCACCTGGCATATGCCACTCACCTGGTTTTCCCAACACCTGGAGGGACTTTTCTCTCCCTTTCCCAGTTCAAGCACTGTCACCATCTAGCCTTTGTAGAAATTGCCCACTGAGAGGGTCAGGACTCCCAGCTTCTCTTCCCAGTTCTGAGACCTTGCTTCTGTGTCTCCTGCTGTTCAGCATCTGGTTACCATGGGGACAGCTTACTACGCTGTGCACTGCTGGGGGGGGGTAGCCACTTGCCAACTGATTACCACTCCCTCTCCATCTGGTACTCCTTTTTAAAATAGCATAGTCAGAGCAATAAAGGTCTACAGTGGTACAGAGAACCACTACTAGCATTAAAAGTTAAAAAGCATTTGTTAAAAAGAAAATGCCCATATACATACTCTCAGCGCAGCCACAGATTGAGCAAGGGATTCAAAAGAAAAGGTAAAATGCAATTCCTCTGTCCCTCCCTCAGTACATGCCCTAGTGGATCTCAGTATAAGGCAGGCTCCTTAGCTTAAAAGGTTATAGTTGTTCCTTGAAACCTCTGCTCAGATGTGTGTGCCAGCACACGGCAATGGCTGCCTCCTACAGTCCTCAGTTAAGAGTTCTGTCTGCCTTGATGGAATCAGCAGAAATGAGACCATCCTCCTTACTCCCAGGAGTTTTCTCATCTCTCTTTCTCCTCCCAGGCCAGGACAAAGAGGCTTTTTCTGAAATCTCCAGGAAATTTTTCCTGAAGTCTTTCTAGCATCTTAAGTCCTCCATATCTCTGTTCCCTGCTAGATAGCTCCTGTCTAATTGAGTGGGGTGAATCTTGAATATCCCATTGTCTCTTGCTAGATCTATTAGCTACGGTGGCTGAGGTAAGGCTTCCTGCCTGATCTCTGCCAAGAGACAGAAAAACTTTTTAAAAACACAAGATGTACGTTTTATTCAGCTCAAACCTCCAAAGGAATATGCATTTCTCCACAGGGCCAACAACAGGCATAGAAGCAGAGGCCTTCCCCTGATGATGCCTCCTGACACCAATATTCAGAGGCTTCCGGCTTCTGAATGCAGAGGTTCCCTTTAGTCAACATGGTTAGCAGCCACACCATGCATAATTTTGCAAACCTCTATCATGTCGCCCCCCCCCAGTCACAGACTCTTCAGCCTTTCCTCGTAGAAAAGGTGCTTCAATCCCTTAATCATCTTGGTTACTCTCTTCTATATTTCTTCCAGCTCTGCAGTGTCCTTTCTGAGATATGGTGACCAGAACTGTACACAGTATTACAAATGAGGTTGCAGCATAGACCCATAAAGGGGCATTATAATATTATTTTTAATCCCTTTCCTAATAATCCCACAGTGTAGAGTTTGCTTTTTCACTGCTATGGCACACTGGGCTGATGCTTTCACTAAACTATCCACTACAACCCCAAGGTCTCTTTCCGGCTCTGTCTCAGCAGGTTCTGATAAATTTAGACCCTATTAACATATACTTGAAATTACCTAAATTGAACTTCATTCGCCACATTGTTGCACACTCATCCAACGTCCGGAGATCCTCGGAGTTCTTTGCAGTTGACTTTGGTTTTCAGCATCCTGAATACTTTGGTGTCACCTGCACACTGCTCATCCCCAGTTCCAGATTATTTATGAACAAATTAAATAGCACTGGCTCCTTTACCATACCTCGAGGGACACTATTGCTTACTTTCCTGCATTGTAAGAACTGTCCATTTATTCCAGCTCTCTGCTTCTTGTCATTTAACCAATTTTTAAATTCTTATTACATGACTGATAAGCTTACTCAGGAGAATTTGATGAGGTAACTTGTCAAAAGCCTTTTGAAAATCCCAGTATGTAATTCTACTGGATCACCCATTATCTATATCTACATGTTTGTTCAGTTTCTCAAAGAATTCCAGAAGGCAAGAGAAACCATGCTGATTTTCCCTCAGCAGGCTTTGTTCTTCTGTGTGCCTAATAATTCCATCTTTCATTATGGCTTCTACTAATTTGCCTAGGACAGATGTTGGGCTAACTGGCCTGTCATTTCTTGGTTCCCCTCTGGACATCTTTTAAAAAATCAGTGTAACGTTTGCTACTCTCCAGTCTTCTGGCACACTAGCTGATTTTAGTGGCAAGTTACATATACTGGTTGGTATATTAACATTCTCACATTTAAGTTCCCTAAGAACTATTGGGTGTTTGCCGTCAGGAGCTGGGGTCTTATTGGTGTTTGGATTTAACTTCTCATCACCTCAATTTGATCCAGTTCTTTGGACAGTGTTCCTGAAAATAGTGGTTTTGGCCTGAATACATTCCCCACACTTTCTAATGTGAACACAGATTCAAAGCAAGACATAGCTTGCTCTCTTCATTTGTAGCTGTAACAATTGAGACTTCTCCATCAATCTCTTTCCCCCCATCACCTGGAGTTGTTTTTCAAAGCTTTTTGGTGTTGGTATCCACTTCTTTTACTTCTTGTTCAGTTTTATCTGGGGTTTTTTTTTGTTTTCAGTCCGTTGCAGTTGCTGTGCATTGAATTTGCTATGCAGTGCCGTCACTTGTTCCAGCAGGGGTTGCAGTGCTTCTGTCAGCATCTTTTGTAGCTCTGTAGTTGTGTCCGGTCTAGGAGCAGGACTCACTGGACCAGCAGTTCCGGCAAGAAGCTTTGTTTTTACTTGTTTATCTTTCTCATCCTTCCTCGTGGGCGCCCTGTTTGAGATTGTTTACTTTTTAAATAAAAGTTATCACAGTCTCTGATACTCCTTAAACAGCTTGGTAAGTTCTTAAATGCTTTTAATTTCAGTCTATCTTGCTTCAGTATTCCACTCCCCTTTTTGTATGCATGCAAAGTTCACTTAGTTTTTCTTATCGGGGGAGAGTCCCCCCCCCCCCCCCCTTCTTATGTTGGGGTGCGCTTTTATTTTTTTTGTACTCTAACTCACATTTCAACAATAGATCCGGTTTCCTTTTCCAGTCACTCGGCCACCAAATGCTTGCTCCAGTGTGCGCTTCTAATTCCCATATGGGACACTCCATGGCGGGACCTTCGGGGCATGGGGAGGCCCCCGCTTCACCAGCAGGCTCACCGGGAGAAGAGCCTCCTAGTGCCCCATGGCTGGGAGCCTCTTGCGGAGGCTCTGGGGGTGGTGTGGACAATCGCGCCCCCTCCTCACCGCGGGCTCTGGCAGTCTTCTCCTGGAGGATCAGGAGAGATGACCACCATGGCGAATGCCAAAACCGGAAGTCCCCGCATACCTAATTATTAACTGTTACTTCTTTTGCGAGACATTGTGCTCCCTTCTATTTACTTCATTGGGGCAGACCTTCCACTTTTTAAAAGAAGCCTTTTTTCCTTTTATCCTCTCATTTTGGAAATAAATTATTACTATTTTAGACTTTAAAGCTGACTTTCTGTTGACAAGAAAGCTGAACCTAATAGCATTGTGGTCATTGTTCCCAGCTGGCACAACTACATCTCTCACCCTACTAAAAACCAGCTCCAAGATTACTACCTCTCTCATTGGCTCCATGATCAACTGTTGCAGTGCATAAATGACTGTGCACTAGAACAGTTGGTCACAGGGCTAATGATGCCCTAGGAAACTCATTTCTGCAGCATGAGTTGAACTGATGATTGATGTGAGGGGAGTTAACGTCACCCAGTATGACATTATTTGCTTTAGTCACCTCCCTCGTTTCATTCTCCATCTCAACCTCAGCCTTAAGGGTTGTCTCCCAAATGAGAGGCTCCCCAGATCCTGTTGGCTTTCCCCCTGTGGTTAGTTTAGCTGCTCTGCTACCTTTTAATATTACATGCCAGCAGTATGGTTCTCTTTTGGTTTAAGTGAAGCCTGTCCCTTTTGTGTAGGCTTCTTAATTTGCGAATGTTTGATTTCCTTTACAGAGCCAGAAGCTCCGGGAGGTTTTCAACCTGGATTTCCCAGACAACAACTTCTTGCTCAAGACTTTGACTGTGGTTTCTGGACCAGATATGGTGGACCTCACCTTTCATAATTTTGTTTCCTATAAAGAAAATGTGGGAAAGGTAGTGAGAAACTGTACATGGTGGATGTCCATGAACCAAAACAAAATGGAGCAAGGGGGCTGTGTGTTGCTGCTGTTCATCACAAGTCGATCAGAAGAGCTATAGGGAGTATTTTGCTGTGTTCCTTGAGTGACCCAGCAGTTAGTGCAAGCAAAAGTATAATGGAGCAGCCGTTACAGAGTCCCTGTCACTCCCATGTGAAACTAGGTCATGGTGCAATAGCACAATGGCTTTAAAGTCTGGATGGTGCATAGTACAGTTTTCTAGGCTTTCAACTTGCACATATGTCTTTTTCAGAGCTGGGCAGAGGACATCTTAGCCATTGCTAGGAATCCATTTACATGTAATGCCTGCCGTTACAGCTTCCTGGAAAAAATGTAAGTAGCTTTCAATTCATTTTGTATTTTGCACTTCCAAGCCATTCTGGGTTTTTTAAAATTTTCATTGTGTAAAGTGATAATGACAGAATGAGCTCCTTAGAAGCACTTTATATCTATCAACAACAGGTGTGCATCATTCCATCTGCCCCATTTTGTTGGAGAATTTCTTGTATTAGGTCACCTAGTGGCAATGGTTGAACCAAATACATGCTGAGGTGACAGAATATGCATAAGCAATTCCACCCAGAAACCTCAGCTAGTACATTCAGTGTAACATTAGTGCTAACTCTTCAGCAATAGCTTCCCCTTCTGCTTGTATGAATTACCCCAATGAGGGATCCTCACGAACTCTGATGGCTTTGTGGGTGACGCACCAGCAACATAACCAACAGAGAAATCCTGAGGGCTGCTTTGGTGGAGGCTGCCTGACAACTGACACATCTGAGGCACCACTGGTCCAGTCCCTATGGACAGTCTGCAGGGGAAATAACAATATATGCCCCTCTGCAAGGCACAGACAGCATAGCAAGTGAACTGGAGTCCACAGCAACCCCAGCAGTATCCACCAACCAGGCAACGGTACCTGATGACATCCCTCAGAGTGGCACACCCAGGTGTAGCCAATCACTGTCTGCTGACTCAGCCACTGCCCCTTGACACCACTTCCCCCCCCCGAGAGCTAGTAGACGGGGAGGGAAGACCCAGCAATAGTGCAAGCCTCAGAGAGGCATGTAGCCTGAGCGTCCTCCCCCCACAGCCCATAGGGGAAAGGGCACCTGTATGGCTGATAGGATGCCTACCCCACCCATGGCAAGGGTCTGACTGGCAACAAAAGTACTGCCCACATGCAACCATCCCTGCTTGAGGCCCCACACCTCTTTCCCCTGAAAAAAATCAAAGAAAAACAGAGAGAAGCCAGAATCAAACCCACAGCCCCCACACCCAAGACTAGCATCTTGACCACTGAGCTAAGAAGGCAGATAAAAAGGAGGCATGGCACTGGGCAGTAGGCACTCCACTGCAGCCCTGACATCACCACCAGGCAAATAGGGCCAGGCAGAGAGCGTTGCAAAGACAGGTATCACTCAGTGGAAGGGCACTGGGATAGGATGACCAGGGTTCCTGGTTCACTCCCCACACTGGGAGAGGTGAGAGGCAGACAAAAGCCTTGGGATGGATGACCTTTTGCCCCGGCAAACCACAAAAGGTGGAACTGGACAGTGCAGCTGATGGGCAGTCCTGTTGATCCATCATTTTGACAGGGATGTCCCTTAACAACTCCTCCAGGCCATCTCCATGGCAACATCTCCCTTGCTCCATGTCCATCCTGGGCCCCTTGTGTTCCTGCATTGCCCTGCTGCATGAGTTATCAGATGCCAGCAGAGCTGTGGGGAAATGTGGGACCCAGAGGATGTCCCCCCTGTACTACAGCAGCCACACACACCCTTGGACCACCCACCAACCCATTCCCTGTGCCAGCTGCGCACAACAGCCAGCAGAGTGTGGGCATCAGTATCTGTAGCCAGTCTCTAAGGTGCAGCTGGACTCTATCATGCAGCTGAACAAAACAGAAGTCCAGTGGCACCATAAAGACCAACAACAGTTATCCTAGCATGAGTGTCCCTGAGCCAGAGGCCACCCCCTTGGGCGTGGGAAGGAGAGAGCTCCTCAGGAAGCCTAAAGGGGATGTTGAAGATTGGGGGGGGCAGGGAGGGGGATGGTGCAAGTTTTGTCTGCTCAAAAATAGACAAGGATGGGGCTGTAGAACACCCCATGCCCTATTGAACAGAAAATCCTGATGAGGTCTGATGGTATCGGATTGCAAACTCCCTCTGTCTGGAACGGCTCCTGTGCCTTTGTTAGCCCCTCCCAGGGGCCATGGGGAGACACACTGAGCTGTCCCTAGCACAGGATGCATGTGAGTGGGATGGACTCGCCAGGTGGAAGGTTGCCCAAGGCAGGATGCTCCAGGAGCTTGGTTGGAACAGCATGGCAGGAACTGCACTGGTCATGCTCTCAGGTCTCCCTGTTGAATCACCATCGACACAGATGCTAAACAGAAATGTGTGCAAAAGACGACAAATGGCAAAGACAGCATGACAGCCACAACCAGCAGGGTCTGTGGTTCCTCCTGCAGGGGGAGGGGCTCAGTTGCCAGAGGGGACCCCCCCCCAGGAGCATGAGGCAACCATTCAAATGGCACTGCAGTTACCAATCCTGTGAGGAAGAGGTCTGCAACTGCAATGACTCCATTGCTGCTGCTGCTGCTGCTGGCTCAGTCCTGCAAGGGAATGGGTCCCAGGATTGCTTCACCAGCTGATCCACAGAGCATAGTGGATCTCTGTGGATCACAGGGCTGATCCACAGCTGCCAGGCACCCCAACCCACAGTTGTGCCTGTCCCCTGCCTGAGGGAAGAGGGCACTCTGGCAAGGCAGTATGCTAACAGCCCAGTGCAGGGCTGCCAGTGTCTCTGCTCCACATCATAGGTAGTAGCACTCCTGGGAACGCTTCCTTGGGAGTCTATCCCATCGCATGATCTGGGATATTGTGCTGGGTGGGCCTGGCTCAGGTTGTCCCTGTATGCACACACTGCACACACTGCTAGCCTTGAGTGTGGCGGTTAGCATTATCGAGGCAGCCCCCAGGCTTGTGTGAGGGGGATGGAGAAGGCGGGTGCAGATTTCTGGCCCAGGGTGGATGGTCACCTGCGGGTGCATGGTCACCCCTTTGGATTGTGTCCCCATAGATGGAGTAAACTCTTAGGGTTCTGATATGAGACTTGTTAGCCACACACATGGATTTTGATCTCCCCCTTGGGTATTAGTACTGAGTGCTCCCTCAGGGGTGCTGAGTTCCCTCTCTGTGCCTCTCTTGCCACCCAAGTGCAATGCTGAGCACTCTAAGAGTCAAACTAAAAGTGATGCCAGCCATGGGTCCATCCTGTGGCCACCAACACCATTTTAGAAGCAGCTGGAGTTCTGCAAAAATTGCTGCAAGGCCTCAATCCAGATTTGGGTTATGGCAGCCCTAGGAGCTCGTCCCCTCCCCACCCCCCTCTTCAGGTGCCAAAATAGCCCCTGTGGCTGTTTTATGGGCACTTACGGGCCACAGCATGGTTTTTGCTGGTGTAACTTTCTGCTGGTTTGGGGGGCAGGTTCTGGGCTGGGGCAGCTGACTAACTCCTGCCAAGCCCTTGCTGGGTCTGCCCCTTTCCCTGCTGGTGCAGCAGTCTGTGATGTTGTCACAACAGCACCCAGCTGGTCTGCAATGCCACTGAGATGCTCCACCAGCATACCTTAGAGATATGACAGTACATATCTTTGTACACTCCCCCCCCCCAATATTGCACTGTGAATCGCCTAAGTCAGAATCGGTTTTTTTCAGAATTTGCAGTGCTAGTGTGTGCTTTGAGTCCAGGGAATTTAATGAATTTCCAGTCAGTGTGAAATTTCACTTCAGAACCTCATCTAACAATAACAATTCATCACAGATTTTTCAAAAGTATCTTTCACTGGGCTATGAAACAACATGAACATCTTTTAATGGTTATCTTCCGTTTTCTCTATTGTGATGAAAATTATACTTCTTCCATTCCTCCCCATCCCCAGCTATGTGGGTAGCAAGGCCAATGAAAGATTGTCTGTTCTGATCTTTTTTACAGACTGGTGAGGCTGAAGTTGCAGTTGAATGCTGATGGGAAAATTCCTGTCAGAAAGTGAGTTTGCCATTTGACACATTTTGACCAACGGAAGACAAATTTAAATATATGCTGTAATAAATAGTCCCTTGACAAAGAGCTGCGCAGCCTGTTCATATCCTCAGAGCTTATATCTAGAGGGAACAGATAGAGTGGTCTAGTCTGATATGTGGCTAAAGGGGAAAAGGATATTCCCCAGTGGTTTGGCAGGGTGAGGGAAACCCATAATGAAATTCTGGTTACAAAAACGGAATGAAAGAGGAATACTCTAACTGCTAGTGGATTACTGGGTATTAAAGCTTGAAAGAAAGGATAGTCCACCGCAGAAGGCAGGCAGCTCTTCAATCCCTACAGAGAGATATAATATTGGTTCCCATTCAGCCTTTGGTTTGCTAGTCATGGCAAGGCAAAACAGATGAGGAAAATGAGGGAACTCTGAGTGAAGATGTACTAATAATATTGCCAAAATAAATAATTTTGTCATGCATGTCCTAAGTATCTGATAATAAAGAACTGCTGAAACATGAGAAGTGATTGGGCTTCAGCACTACTCTGCTACAAGTTTTCAGCCAGAAAGAGACAGCATTAGCTAATAGCTACCTGTTGTTTTCCATTTGGCTTTCAAGAAAATGGAAATAAAAATCAGATGATTACTAGTTCTAAACTAGTTCCATAGCAGCCTGCACTGGATTGATTCCATGGAGAGTCTAACAGTGCAATCCTAAACAGAATTACACCATTCTAAATCCATTGATTTAAATGGATTTAGAAGAGTTTAATTCTGATTAGGATTGCACTGTTAATAGTATACTTGGGGGACAGTCAACCACTGTTCTCTAAAATTATGGGTTCATTTTAAATTGTACTTGATAATAGGCATGCAGTGACATTTATTATTTGACATGCAATTGTTTTGAAATGTGACAGGCTGAAACAATTTTTATTTTATGCATGACAAAATCCAAATGATCAAGTAATGCTAAGAATATAATAAAGATGCTGACGAAGTACCTGAATACCGAGAGGAAAGGATGCTTCAATGATGTACAGCTATAGTTTAGCATTACAAATAACAGTGTAAATTAACAATGTCACAGTCCCGTGCACTCTGATCAATGTCCTTCATTTTCACAGTTTGGCCTTCTCTAGAACACTATGGACAGTCATTATTTCATAAATGACAGTTCCAAAGCATTCTGTATTTTTCAAGTTTTGATCTGGCAACCTGAACTACGTTCAACTATTTTGCATGTGATTCTCACACTGTCAGTATTAGATCCTCTTTCTGAGGATGCTGCTTTAATGTAAAGGAGGGGATGGGCATGGGGGCTGGAAGAGGAATTTTGTAGCCCTTTCCATTCAAGGTATTTCTCCACTTAAAATCATCCTCCCCATTAGAGAAAATCTCCTCTCTCCTAAACCTGTCTCCCCTTCCCTTTCAATAGCAGATTCAGCAACTGCATTTTGTCAAAGGGGGGAAAAAAGAAAGGAACAGCCTAGCAAAAAATCACAGCATGGCAATGAACATGTCGTTCTGTTGTCCATTGTCTGTCATTCTCTCTCTCTTTGACAAACAGGGTTGCCGGCTCTGGGTTGGGACATACCTGGAGATTTTGCAAGTGGAACCCAGGGAGGGCGGGATTTGGGGAGGGGCCTCATCTCTCCTATATTATAATCTTGTTTTGGGGTGGCAAGATTCCATGCTTGCCCTCAGCCATTCGCGCGTCAGCTGCCACTCAAGAGTACTCGTGTGCCATTGGCCAGGAGCTGGGTCTCCTCCTCTTCTCCGCCCACTCCCCCTTCAGCCACTGTCCCCTGTCAGAATTACTGGCAAACAGCTTTCTCTCTTGACGAAGATGCTTTTCCTGTTTGGGACTAACTTTCCCCTCAGTGGCTGTTGGTAGGTGTCACGAAATGGCAGTTACCTGTGTTTTTAAGATGGCTGTGGTTCTTTGTTTAAAATGTTCCCCCACAAGGTTTAATTGAGCTGTAGTTCCAGAGAGGGGTCTGCAGGGGTTGAATGGGGCTTCCTCATCAGCTGGCCTACAGTTCCCAGCTGCCCCAAGGCCAAAAAGTGCGGGGAAACAGGGACTGTCCCAATTCAGCAGAAATTCAGCCACTCCACAGTCAGCTGGACTGGGGAATGAATGGAAGTTTCCCTGCTCTCTTGGGCAAGAAAGAGAGGCTGAAGTACAGGTGAACCCACAACCTCCAGAGGTAGAGAGTATTCTGTGTATGGAAAGAGGATTGCATTTAATGCCTGTTGATTTATGTCCTGTTGGTTCAT